TGGCAGCAGCTGTCCCTCTCTCTCCTTGGGGAGACACCATCACCATGGCTCCCACTGCCCCAGGGACACACTGGGGAGAAGATGGTGCCAGGGCACCCTGAGACAGGCCTGGAGTAGCTCTGGCTCCGGCTCCAGCTCTGGCTGTGCCATGTGACAGCTCTGCCTGCAATGTGTTTCTCCATCCATGCTCAACCCTCTCCTGACCCCTGTCTGCACAGTCCTCTTGCCCCAGGCATCACTCTGCCCTTCCCCATGGCACATCCCTGGAGGAAGGAGTGGGAGTGCCACTGGGCCGGGGCTGGCCCTGGGCTGGCAGTACCATGGGCACAGAGCTGGGGTCACTGCAGGCTGGGGGTGCTTCCCCTGAAAACGGGGTTTGGTGTGACTCTGCTGTAGACAGTCAGAGCACCAATAAATGGCATTTTTCACTCTCGATTCCCATGGCCCTCAGGCTCATGGCCCAGCAACCCCTCCAGGCCCTGCAGAAGCAGTTCCAGAGTGACCATTCCTGTGTTACAGATCGACAGCTCCACTCTGCCTTGTCCCAAGGCACTGAGTGTGGGGCTGTGGACCGCAGGCTGATGGGACGAGCTGCCCCACTGACTGGGTGAGGAGAGGGGGCTCCAACAGAGGGTGGATGGTGGCTTAGGGGATCACCAGGTTCCACTGCAGCTGTTCCATGGGCTGTGACAGTGCCCTCACTGCTACAGAACAGTGGGACCAGGTGAATGGTGTCAGGGTTCCAGCGCTGGGTGCAGAGTCCCCACAGGGTCAGGGTGTGCTCAGTGCAGGGCTGTGCATCCTGGGAGGCTGTGGGAAGGGTGGGGAGTAGGGCTGAAGCTGGGGCTGGGACAGGGCTGCCACCACCAGCACTGCTGCCCCGTGGGGATGTGTGTCCATGCTCACCCTACACCAGGAGTGAGCAGACACAGCCCAGCTCACACAGCACATCCCAACCAGGGGCTTCAAATGGAGCTGGTAGGATTGTGGTGGTTCACCTCACCCCCACAGGGCCTTGAGCCCCAGCCCCCTCGGTCTCACTGTGGCAGCCCCATGCAGCTCGACAGAGCCATCCCCTTGGTGCTGGCACCAGCTGGGTTCTGCGGGCTGCCAGCATGGCCCTTATGGAGAGGATGCACCATCTATCCTTCCTCCCTCACCTTCACACTCCTACCCTGGGCTGGCCTGGGCTTTGGGGCTACTCTAGGCAGGTGAGTACAACCCGAAGCATAGAGGAGCTGAATCCTGCTCCTGTGCACTCATCTGGGGATGGGGCCATAGAGCCCACCCAGCTGCTGGCACTCGCCTGAGGGTGAGGAATGGGAGGGGGTTGTGGCTGCAGCCCCCAGCAGTGCTTGGTAGAGCAGCACAGAGCTGGGGCCAGGTGATGGAACCATGCATGGATGGCACCAGGGCCTCAGGGGGACCTCAAGCCTTGTGTGGGCTTGGCCCAGGCTCTCTCCAGTGTGTGGGGTGGGTGCTGTGGGTGGCAGGGTTTTGCAGTCCAGAAGCACTGAGCCTCTTGCAGCTCTGTTTGGGGGTACAGGAGGCTCTGGGGTGTCAGCAGTGAGTGAGCTGCAAGCATGGCATGAGCCACGTGGCGTGAGCCACTTGTCCCCAGGAGTAGCTGCCCCATGGCATGGGGCTGCCAAGGCTTGGGGGCCTGAGCCCAGCCCCTGCTGAGGGCCGTGCCCTGCCGCTGTGGGAAGCGGTGCCGAGTGCCAGCCTTCACGCCAGATCATGTCACGGGGCCATGGCACTGTGTGCTGCCTTGCTGCGAGCAGGGCTGTGCCCCACTGCCCCTCTGCCACCTGGTGTGGGACACACCGTGCAAGGGGCCAGACTGAGCCTCTGTCCCCAGGTCTGCCCAACACTGGCACTGTGGAAGGAGCCCGATCTGGGCCTAGCTGGGCACCTGCACCAGCGTCGGTTCTGGGTGTTGGCTTGGCTGCAGTTGGGGTTAGGGGGTCTGCACTCGGGGCTCTGCTGGCAGTGGTGTGGTGCACTCGGGCGTCTGCCAGCAGCAGTGTGAAGCACTCGGTGGTCTGCTGGCAGTGCTGTGGTGCACTCAGGGGTCTGCCAGCAGCATGTGGTGCACTCAGGGGGGCTGCCAGCAGTGATGTGAAGCACCAGCAGCCACCTCACCGTTTGGCAGCGGCGCAGGTGCCCCATCGGAACACCCTGCATCGAGCACGCCGCTGCCGACTCCGGTGTCTCCGCTCTATGACTCACAGGACTTGGCCGGTGCTGCCGCTGCGCTTCGGGGTCTGCAGCTCCTGCACCTCGGCACCCCCCACTCTGCCCGGGGCACGGGGCCACAGACGGGCCGGGGGTCCCCCACCCATGGCCGTCCTG